GCATAAAAAAGAAGAGAAAAAGATGATTGATGTATGCAAATATATATATATATATATATTGCTTGGTGTGATCGCCACGTGTAATGGAACGACTCATTCGCTCCTGTTTTATTCCAAGAAGAAATATGAATACAAGCGACACGAACAAGGATAAGATTAACATGTCATAAAAAGAAGAGACAAAGAAGAAAGATAAGGTCAACATGGCATAAAAGAGAAGAAAAAAAAGCTGATTGATGTATACACACATATGTATGTGTGTGGTAGACCTCCTTAAATATTGTCATGGAGAATGGTGACGTTTAGAAGCTGTCAATTCAGTTATCAAACATTTAAAAGTATCTATTAGTTTGACTAGAGTAATAACAATCTGCATATGATGTTATTTATAGTATTCTAACAGAGAAATACTAACGTTACAAAGATATTTTATTAGGTCAGTTCATAATAAATATTTCGTCTTTCGCTCAACATATAACATAAATTTCTAGTCTCTCTATGTGAACGCGTCTGTTTTAAACTTCACAAATAAACTTCATTTGCACAACATATCTTTGGGTATAATAATATTGAACAGAAGCATCCATTAGAATTACCAGTGATTCCTTCTATGAGAACGTCTATACTCTTCAAATCTTCATTCGTAATCTTCTGTACTAAATTTGCATCCTGAATAAATACATCATCTATATAGGGTGTCCAGAAAGTCACTAGAGTTAGAAAAAATTGCATATGTCTCTGCTATGGCTCGAGCAAACAGACTGATTTTTGTACCAATAATAGAAGCATGTTCATACTTTAAATCCATACAGACAAGGTTAGAAAGAGCCTTTGTTAAGTACCACCAACGACCTCAGCAAAAAATATTTTACTTTTTCACAGATAAGAAAAAAAACAATAGACTTAACAAAGGATCTCTCTAGGCATGTCGTTATGAATATAAAGCTTGAACATGCTTCTATCATTGATAAAAGAATCAACTCTTTTGCTCGAGCCATAGTGAAGATATTCAATTTTTTTTCGGCAAAGTGACTTTTGCGCCACTCCGTATAGTGTTTTTTTTCTATCAGTGAAAAAGTGAAATTTTTTTTGTTGAGGTCGTTGGTGGTACTTAACAAAGGCTCTCTCTAACCTTGTCTGTATGGATTTAAAGTGTGAATATGCTTCTATTATTGATAGAAAAATTAGCCTGTTTGCTCAAGCCGTAGCAGAGAGATATGCAATTTTTTCTAACTCTAGTGACTTTCTGGACACCCTATATACTGATCGTGTTGCTTGTTTATTTGAAAAAGAAAGTAACCTGGGAGTGTGTTTGAATAGATCAGCATACGTAGCCTATCAATATGACTTATCTTAAACCGACTTTAGAATGAGTTTATGTTGGAATTACAGGTAATGTCATTTTTGTGTTTATCTTTCAACTATATTTAATGTTCGTCTTATGCATGCGGTGCTTCGATGTTTTCTATTCCTGCTTTGACTGATTAAGTGTATTAAAACTTTTCTTTTAATGACGTCGACTACTCATGATGTTCTCTTCACAAATGTGTTTGTTTTTTGTTCCTGCACATTATCGAGATGATGACAAAATTAGTTTGAAAGCGTTTTTTGCTTCAGGATCGAAATAGAAGGTAGTGTTTACCTGTTTTAATGGCATCGTTGATGTTCTTTT